TTCTGTGATTCTGTGATTCTGTGATCCTGAATGTGCAAAAGTTGGACTCTTTCAAGGAGAACAGCAATCCTTTGCTGCTATTCCCATGGCACCTTCTCCACCAAGGCAAGATGTAGGCCAGCCATATTATCCCTCACTCTATCCCAAGAACATCTCCCATATGCAGCTCTCTTCACCCAGCAGGAACTGTACCAAATTTCCTCCCACCTCCACTTCTATGGAACTAGATCATCCCTTTCCTCACAAAGAACTTGAATGACTCAAGTGACCAGTTTGTGTCCTGGAAAGCTTTACCATAGTAATTAATGCAAAGAAGTATGGATTCTAGGATAGTGTCATGTTTTTGCAGGGAATAAATGAAGTCAGCTACTCTTATCCCCTGTTAGTGTCTACAGATGCTCACTTACTCTATCAAGACCTTGAAAACAATCTAGGATGGGGAACGGTGCACCCTGTTTATATATAAATGAGTTCCCACTAGCTAGCTTTACCTAATTATCTCACATCTGCATTGCTTACTAGAATAATATTAAACTAGCTCAAATTTTTTTCCCTTTCATGAAAAGGCAGCTACCATGCTTCATTTTCAGTGAGTGAGGGGAAAACTACTGCCAAAACTTAGGTACTGACAGCAGCACTGCAAATACTCGGGGCCTGGTATGACAGAAGAACAGGAATTCAGATGTTTGTAGCCAGGATTCCCCAATACTCAGAACATCACGGCTGGCCCATAAACAACATTGTTCTGCCACACCAGAGGTGCACGGCACAGACTGGGGAGTTACTACAGCAAACATGCTTCAGGACAACACTATGGATAGATGCTAGCTCCAGGGAACAGTAAAAAGCAGACATGATCTAATAAGAAACCTTCACCTAACAGCTGGAGATGTTTAAAGCTGAAGAATGGCTTAAGCAGACTTTGTTCTGATTTAGCTTTATAGCAGATTTTCTCCCAAGCCCAAATTTAGAGCTGTACAGCTTTATTCCATGCAGCAAGTTTAGCATAATGTCATTATCAGACCTGCAAGCAATGTCAAATGCCTATTGTTTCCAAGGCTCAAAGTTTTAATAGCAGAAAGAATCATCTGCAATGATAATGTCAAGTTTTTATTTATGTTAACAGCTTTTTAAAATTAATGCTCAATAAAACTGAAAGCTGTTTAGGTGCATACCTTTTTCTAAATTAACCTCTCAGTTTTAAAAGGGAATACAGAATGAGTTAATAGCCAGATCTCTACTGATATAAATACAACTGTTGGAAATCACATGCTTTCTACAAAGATTTTATAGATAGATAGATAGATAGATAGATAGATAGATAAGTGAATGCAGTCAGATCATTTCTCATTGTTTTCTTTTTCTGCGATAATAATGGATTTAAAATTTAGCTGTAAGACAATTTTCCTACCCCTAAGCTGTCAAGAAGTTTGTGAGGTGCAAAAAAGCTTTATATGAAAGTAATCTCTTTCCTCTACAATGGTCATATTTTCATACCTACTTAGTCCAAAGTATTTGGAATCTTACTATCGCTTTCATTCCAATTTTAGTCTGCTTTGATCTGTCAATGTTTCTATTTTAGAAAGCTTTCCACGTTGTTTTAAAGTATATTTTAATACTTACTAATATACATATCTATAAATATATGAAAGAACTTAATTATTTGACTAAGGAAAATGCAGAATTGATCTTAACTGAATTATGAATCTCTTGCTATTAACAAAATAAACCATCTGTACTTATAATCCATGTGGAATCTGCTCCTAAAGTGTGAAAGTATCCAAGACTCTTCCTATGAACAAAAATGAAACTGTTTGTCATTATACAGGGTTCACTGGAAGAAAGCCATATGTATTTGTGCATTTGCACTGCAAGATAAGTATTTTGCTTGTGAATCCTTGAAACAAAAAAAACCCTAAAATATGTCTTGCAGCATGTAGCTGACTAAAACTAATCCTGACAGGACTTTCTGAGAAATAGTCATTTTCACAAGCACTACCAGAGTCCTTTCACACTGTGAACTCTCAAGGTTTTTTTTTAAGTGGGTATTACTATTGTCTTTTCCCCAAAAGACAATGTAAGTGCCATTTGTATCTATTAAATGTGGTCTTCACTAGAAAAAATTTCTAGTACACTTGATCAAGAAAGCAATTTGCAGAAAAAAGCCACTACCCTGTTACTGTCATATGGCTTTGCAGCAGCCATACTTGATACCTGGAAATCAAAGCCATCAAATAGATCCTAATACGAAAATACATTTTAAAAGCTGTGGAAAAGATGCACCAGCACCGCAATTTGTTAATACAAAGTTAGTTTTCTCATGTTGAGGGCCTAATGGCTAAATACGTGAAAAGGCTTCTCAGTTAACTGAAACAGCACAATGGTGACAGGCCAACAGCACACCTTATATGCAGACCAGAAAGTTCTGGAAAGCAGAAAAGCTGATGTCACATTAAATACTAATAAAACACTTGCTACTGGTGTCTATTTCAAAAACATTTTTGTGTCAGAAGAAACACGTATCAAATTTTTATCTCTTGTAGATGCTGTTGAACCTGCAAGAGAACAGAGAGAAATATAAATAACTGATATTGTAACCACACACACTCAGAAATAAGCCTTTTATCTGAAAGACTACATACCTTCTTGATGTCTGGCCTTCTGGTTTTTTTCTCTTTTAGACACTGATCAGCAATTGAGTACATTTTATGAACTGAAGGTGCATCCCAGTCACTCATCTTTCCATCAACATAATCCTCAATAGTTGCTTCCTCATCCTCAATTTCATCTTTGATACTTAACTACAGAAGAGTTTGAACCAGTGAGCAGATAACATTGTCAGCATCTGAACATTATGAATTCTGCACTCACACTTTGAAAACTTGCTTTTGAGTGTTCATTTCTTTTTTCAACCACTTTTCTAAACAAGGAACATTGACAATGGTTAAAAAATATTCATCAGTATATGCAGAAACAGCCTATGAGACTACAAATGGACTATGCATTTTTATTATAACATTTCTAATTTATTTATCACAAAATTGTAAAGCAATTTTCTTTAAGTTGCATCATACAGCTTTAACATTCTCCTAGTTCAAGGCTCAGTTTCTTAGTATTAACTTGGGATTTTTTTAAGAGAAGCATGATATGAAGTATTTATGTTTACTTAATAACCCACAAATATGCAAGTTCAAGTAAGTGTGAGTAACTTTTTTGTCAACTTTATAAAGCCTCTTTCTGTAAACTAATGCCTTCTGTCACCAGTGATTGCTACATCTATTTTACAGAAAACGTATAGACATAAATAAATTTTTAAACCCGACTGGTTTAGTCCAAAGTTCTCCAGCTCCACCACACTTGAAATGCATTATCTGTAATCACAAATACTGCTTGAGGAGTACCTCAGACAAGTAAACATGGTAAAAGAAGTAAGAAATAAAAAGTCAGTGAGTAGCAGCAGGACTTCCGCCTTTTTCTATGGGTCAGTCTGAAATTGCTGACTAACACCCCAAATTTACCCCAAAATTTTAAAGCTAAGGATGCCATGTTATCTTGCACTGACCAGTCTCTTAATGCTCCCAAAAGTACAGTACAAAGATAAACTGTACCGGTCAAATCACACTTTCTATTCCTTTTTAGATCCTATCTCTGAAAAAAATCTACTTCAAAAAAAACAAACCAACCCCAAACCTCAAGATTCAATTTGACAGGGACCCAGTTCTCCAAGGTCTTTACAGAGCTCAATAGAGTAAGTATTACACCACTCCAAAAGATACAGCTTAGAGGAAAAAAAAAATCTATTAACAGTACCCATGTATTCCTAAAGCTGTGAAGAAAAGGATCTGCTATCAAACAGCATGGAACAAAACCAGTCCAAACCTCAATGCTATTTCATACTTTGTAAAAAAGTCTTCATGAAAAAATATTCTAGGAAAACCTTGGCTTAAGTAGTTCAGAATTTAAGATAAATGAACAGCTCGATTAAGAACTGCATTGTAGGATTTTTAATTCAAGAAAGTGAACTCTAAGACATCAGTTTCCTAATTAGTAGACGGAATTACTCATTGAATAGTAACAAAGAAAACAAAATTCAACCCACACCTCACCCTGCAAAAAAGGGTTTTTTCAATTTTTGAAAAATTGAAAAAATTTCAAACTTCCTTAAGGTTAAAAACATGAGGCATTTGCAAATTATTAGCAAAGTTGGAAAGGATGAAAATTGATACAGGAATGGAAAGAAGTAGAAAGAACCATACAGAAACAAATGAGATGAATAGGTTAAAACATTCTGCTGAATTATCAGGGTATCTGGGTATAACAGCAGTACACTGATAAAGTGCAATGGTATTACAGTAAGAAGCAGTACCAAGACAGAGTTACAGTATCAGATGGGAAGGAGATGACCTTGGAGACTGAACAATCTTCTACGAGCCAAAAGAGAAAAGTTTCAGCCTCATCTCTAAGATAAACATTGACACAAGGGCTGTTTTCGTAATTACTATTTTGAGGACTAATTTGCTTGTCTCAGAACCTGTTAACTGACTGTCATTTCATCTCAAGGGATCCTGGAGCAGGGGGAGGGGAGGAGAAAGCAAAAGGAAAATACCAATAGCTGCGGCTCCCGCTTTTCATCTACTGGAGGAAGACCCGTTATTATTTCCAGTAAGACCTAGAAGAAGAAAATCAGAAGAGAAAATGAAGCACAGAATAAGTCTTAGCATATATACTATTTGCAAAAAGTACTGTGACCCCAAATCTTCCAAACAAATGCTGACAGGATCTGTTTGTCCAAAGACAGGTCTCTATAGAATTGATTGTTGTTGCTGTCATTCCTACCTTTATTTTCATTAACTTTTAGCAGTGTGACTTACGAATTTCAACCCAAGTTTTTCTCACCCTACACTGTGTTGCTTCAAAGCAAGATGGATTTCCAAAGTACTCAGATACAGTATCTGGCCCACCTCCTCATGAAACTAAATACCATGAAGGAAGTGGTCAAGAGCAATTAGGATCTTGGATCTATACTGAATGGAATCATTATTCTCCCAAATATTAAGCTCATTTCTTTCTTGTACTTGGCTTTAAGGCAAATTCCACGTTGACAGAATACTTTTTGTGCTTAAAAATAGTAAAGCACACTCAATTTTGGAACATTTTCTTCATTTTTTTTTCCAGCCTGAGTTACATTTTTGAGCAATACTATGCAAGCGGAAACAATGTCCCACATTACTTCAAATGACATTTAGCTAGAACTCGGCATGATATCTTACTCCTGTATTTCACATGCAAAGTTACATTTTAACATAATTACTGTAATCACTAGCAAATTCAATGTTTTAATCAACATATTCAAATTATTTTAAACCAATAAAGTTTGGAAACACTGTCTTAAAAGCACATCTGTTGGGAGAAGGACAAATGATAGAACAGAACGGATTAATTTCAGATATTCTTGATTTTGTATGCTTTTATCATTTACAAAAAAATGTCACATACTGCTTTCCCACATTCTACTTACTACTCCAAAACTGAAGATATCAGATTTAGGTGTTATCTCTCCTCGCAGCGCCTCAGGTGCCATATAGGCTGCCGTTCCAACAATTCTTTCAGTCATGATTGTATGTGTGAATGTTACAGATGCTCTTGCAAGTCCAAAGTCAGAAATTTTTGGCATGTATGTATCAGTTAGTAAGATATTTGCACTGGGGGAGAGGGGAGGGGGAAAAAAAAAAGAAATGAGAATTCTCCAAACCAGAAGAGTAATTAAGTTTTACAACAGACTAATATCTCTTTAGTAACTAAATCCAAACTGCTATATTGAGTATTTCTTGAAATATATGAATAATGAATGAGTTAATAATGAATAAAAAATGAGTTAATTTTGTTGGAAATTGCTTAATTTCAAAATTAATTGTGCTAAATAAACCAAGAACTGGCTGCTAGGATCCACCCATGTTTTTTCTTGTGCATGCACACATGCATTAAAAAGAACAAAAAAAGGAAAAAAAACCCAACAAGGCAAAACATAAACACCCCCTCCTACTCCCAAATCCTACAAATACAAAAAACTCTTATAGCAGGCCAATTATGTCACACCCATGTTTTGGATCTGAATACTCTTTCATTAAGCAGGATGACAGAGAATACTTTGCTCTGATGTAGAGGTACTGGATCACAGTACAATTCTTAACTGTCTGAATCTCTACTCAGAACTAACAAAAGCAAGTTTTAATACCTATTGTCTAGTACTACGTCAACTGCTACAAATTTACATGCCAAATGAATACTAATACTCTTATTCTTCTCCTGGAAGAGAAACAGAAAACTTATTAATGCTGGAATTATATATGTGCTGTGTTTCCACTTGATCTCCAGCTTTTACTTCCCTTGAAAAAACCCTGAAGACCGAAGCTCATCTAAAAGACCTTAATGCTTTCATAAAGTATTCAATGGGATGAATTACAGCATAAATCTGCTGCTGCTTTTTAAACTTGTAGCACTTTGAACCATTTAAAAATCACTTTATTTTGTATTTCTGTGTTCCTCCTCATTATCTGACTTCCTTAATGGAACCATAAGAAAACCGTATCGCCAGACACAACACGTAACACTACAAACTTGTATTTCTAAGTCCCCCTTGTTATGCAAACCTTCTCAACAAAATTAACACAGCTGTAAGCTACAACAGATCACCTGATATCAGAACTGCTGTAAATACTGTCAAACATTAGAGCACTGTGAAAGGCCAAACACTAGTCAAGGCACCATCCACCAACTTTCCTACTTAAAGCTCAACTTCTAAAAGAAAGAAGAACAGGATCATAACTACAGAAATCTGAGCTTCTTAAAAACTTGAGCCAAGCCCTAAGAGTGGTCACTTTTTTGACAGACCACAAAGAGCACAACAGAAGCAAATTTTACTGCAACCGTCAAGCTTCAACAGATAAATGAACTATTTCCTGGGCATAACCAAGCCAAAAAGCTATGGGCAACCCTGAGAACGCTCACTCAATCTTATCCCCTAGAGCCTATGGAGAAGCTGTTCTAGTGCCTGCATGGTTACGAACTGTCTTCATACATCACAGCAAAATGAAGACTGAAGTAAACCTTCTTACATGTCTCTTCATCTAAGTTACCTGGGAGTGGCAGCACTATTAATAAATCCAACCAAATTCATTGAACTATTCACAATGAAAGTGCAAGAGATTGCAACATGGAATCCAAATAAAAGAAAAACCAAAACAAGCCCCAGTCCTGTAATATGATCAACTCACAGCAGTTAGAAGGGCAGAGTAGCATAAGGTAAAAAGTGCATCCCTTCCAGTCCTTACACTTGTCCAGAGGCTTAAGCAGGGAAGAAAGAAGAAACAAAAATTGTCAAAGCAGCAAGCATATTTTATGAGGCAGCTGAAGCAGCAGCCTGTTCCTTACAAGCTGGAAGGTCACAAAACCAAAGTGCCCTACACCTCGCAGAGTTGCCAGAAGCCAGAAATTTATTGAAACATTGATCGATGACACCCAATCAGTTGCTCCTTTTTAACCCACAGAAGGAGTAAGGCAACTGAGGCTGAACAGTACAACAAACTGTAGCAAGGAAGGGGGGGAAAAATCCCACAAAAAACTCAACAAACCAGGAAAAAAAACAAACTCTGTAATTAAACCTCCACCTTTTCTGAGCTCTGATATCTCTGGAAAGATTTCTGGTATAACAAAACTGTGCTGGTTTTGCCAGCTGCAGTTAAACCATGACACAAACAAGTGAACATACATTATCCTTGAAAAACCCTGAACTTCATAAACCTGACTGAAGCAGCTTTACTGTCTTCATAATAAACAGCAGTATATCAAAAGAGACACTCTGAAGAAATGTTCTAGGGAAAAAAGTTGGGTTTTCATCTGAAAAAATCCCCATTTAAAAAGTCATTATGTTCTCTAACAGCAGCTTTTTCATTAGCTGCAGTTGTGAAAGAACAGAACTTCTGGGTGTCCTCGCAGCACTCGCGTAACTATCTGATAGTAACAGATTGCAATAGCCTCACAATTATCTTCAGAAGTCTGTGCTGGTCATGTCCTTGTGGCACAGAAAAGATTACGGTGATGGATGTCACTTGCAGAAAAGATTGTGCCCTTGACTGAAGCAATGCTTCTTGCAATTTGTTCTCTCTAAAATGACTAACAGGGGGAAGAAGGAAGGAAAAAAAAAAGGGGAAAAAGCAGCCAGTAATAGTGAGCAGCTTTTACCTTTTAATATCTCTGTGAATATGATTATTTTCATGCAAAAAGTTGATGCCATTTGCTGTACCTTGAACAATTTTACATCTTGTATTCCAAGAAATTGGTGGAGTGCCATCCTTGAATAAGAAGGGGGAAAGGCAAGTAGAAAGGTGAAATATACAGTTGCTCACATAAAACAAAACAAAACATACAGACCTCCCACAGTCCCAAACCAATTTCATGCCATGTTTCGCGGTTTTCACATAAATCATTAAAAAGACTAATAGCACACATTTCTCAATTTACTTGGGCAGAAATACATGCATATTTGTCCCATTCAGTTCTTTCCCCTGCATTTTGCTTTAGATTAATTCACCCATTGCAAAAAGTGTTCTTAATAATGTTCAACTCTGACCCTACATAGCCAGCTGCGCTGCAAAGAACTACCAGTATCTACCACATCTTCCACTTCGTGCTGGCACTGATACCAGAGTCTTTTAACCCAAAGCAAGTAATTTAAAGCAATCAACAGTTTCTACTAACAAGGAGAAGTCAATCTTCCACCGTTTTTGGATTTAGCACTTCTCAAGAGTTTAGTTCGATCCATGTTACCCACTAGACCTTGGAAGAGGGGAAACCTACATTTCAAAATCACTTCTTAATCTTCTCAGAGGTCAAGGGAAGAGCATTAGAATACTTCAGCGTTCTACCACTGCTCTTGCCTGCTCTTCAAACCCCAGACAAGAAGATGATATAAGCAAGACCTCAAACACATTAAGTCATAAAATGAAGTAACAGCAAGAACACACATTCAGCATGCACATTCCTCACCTATTTGACTTTATCAGAAGATTATTTTCAATTTATAGATTCTGATTTAGATTCTTCATGATTTCCTATCATGTTTGCCTCTTCTGTGTAAAGGTCTCAGTTATTTCTACTTCAGCTTTCAATTCCCGCCAATCTTTGAAGCTCATTTGATGATAATGGCCAAAGTTACAGCGATGAACATAATCATACACATCTTTGTCAAGCACTGCTCATTTCTATAGATAAACTTGCACTGCCTTAAGTAAAACTTAGTCTTTCTTCTGCACTGATTCAGGTAAAAAAAAACCTGCGCATGTGCAAGTGTGTGCAAGCAAATGAACCAAATCAACCTCAGACAGCAGTGCTACCAAACATAACCAGTCATTTCCCCAGCCACTGCTACTCATTCTGATCCTAACACCACTTCTTTCTTGTCGAGGCAAAAGTATCTGTGCAGAGAAAATGTGTCCAGGTGAAAATTAAAGATTTTTTTCACTGAGTACTATTTCAGCCTGATCAGTTTCCAAACCCAGCCCTTTCTCCAACTACTAAATGCTTGAGCCAGTACAACAGGAAGATCAGTGCAGAAAAAAGCAAAAGGACATTTTTAAGGTCCAGGGGCATGGCAGGTTGAAGTAGCACCATTTTAAAATGCTCACCAGGTTACAACCTCAGAAGCTGTGTTTGCTTAGTATAACACAGATTTTTTAATTCCTTCAACAATCTAACATGGACACTTATCTACGAGGTTAAGTCTGGCTTACTGTTGGTATTATTCTAACAAACTGTTTGTCCTTCATATACAGACTTGCCTCACTAAAACCAAAGCAACTTATTATTTATTAAAGGGCAAGGCTAGAAGATACATCATCTGATTAAATCAGAAGAAAGCATTGCATTTACACAAAATACTAATTTTATTTAGGCACTTCAGAAAGAGATGTGCAGACCATGAAGATTGTGTTATAACCACTATCTCAAGGGCAATGAACAAAGGGCAATTTCACAGTGCAGAATCTCACGAAGTACCAGAGAGCATGCCAATGTCTGAACAGGAACAATACTGCAGCACCCTCTGCTCCACTCCATGCAGACATAGCAAGTCCAAGCTCCTGTGCTGCTTGAGGTACTAGTACACGACATTGCATTGTCAGCCTGCTTTGAGACTTTAACATGTCTAAACAATGTGTGTAAAATGAAAAATACTTACCATATTTGTCCTGCAGAACACAGAAGTAAGTACTAAAACACTGTTTGGCTGTTTATAACAGTTCAGTACTGCTTAAAAAAATATTTCACAGATATCTGTACTTCAGCAAAGTAAGACAACTGGAAGCTAGAAAAGATTTTACTTACCAGACAAGCAAGTCTGTCAAGCAATGAACCGTTGGGCATGTATTCATACACCAGACATGGCTGAGCACCATCACTTGAGAAACCAAGCAATTCTACTAGATTCTCATGTTGACACCTGTGGCAAAAAAAATCTATTCATATATGGTCTGAAAGACTCCCAACATTTGAGGAAGACACAAAGCAGAGGGAAATTGATGCCAAATTACTTGTTCCAGCCCTACTGCTCACAGCCAGGTTTCTGCAGTTGTGCTTTAAAGTGAACAAAATACAGTAATGTTGTATATTAAACATTCTCACTTAATATGAAAATTGTAAGTTATGCTAGAAAGACAAAAATAAGGGATCACATTTGTGTGTTATCTGCCAACTTAGATTCCCATAAAAGGCTATAATGAGATCATAGAACACTGTACTCACTTTGCCATGATTTTTATTTCTTGATCAAATTGCTGTTTCAAGTCCTGAACACTAACATCAACCATCTACAAAAGGAAGTATGTGACATTAGTATGGCTGACCATATTAAAATGCACAGTTATTCATTAAAAAAATAAGAACTGTAAGCCTTTCTTTAAGTTTAGTTATGTGTAACCACTACAACTGTTTACAGTATTTTTTTACTCAAAATTAATGGATCAGAAACATGATCTTTGATTTCTTGGAACACAATATTATTGGACAAATGGATCCAGTTTCAGCAGTCACCAACCTACCCATTTCAATGTAGTTACCAACTAATAGCACTTACCCATTACAAAATTAATTATTTGCACAAACTCTTGGTTATGAAGACTAAAATTCTGTGGCAATATCTACTTGGCTTATGAATCGTTCATCTGATTCTGAAAGGAAAACCATCCTAACACCCCTTCCCTTCTGCCACTTCTTCAGTGCAGGGAAGGGAGGGGAACTGGGTGAGGGTTCTTCTCTTGCAGACGCCTTGCCTGAGCCACTCAAAGGAGAGCCAGAGAAAGTGCAAGACTTCACCTCTGGTGACTGTGCTGACTCACACCACTCAGGGGCCTACAGGATAAGATTTTAAACCCAACTAATGTTTAACACAATGACACCTTTTGAAGCGCATCATTCAACACCTTCCACAGCTAAACAAGGCTATACTATAGAGTACACATCATTAAGAAGAAAAATGCCCAGGACAACTCACAGCAACAAGTTTCTTGACAGCCACGTTTCTGCCATTGATGTAGCCTTTGAACACAACGCCAAAGCCACCTTCTCCCAGCTTATTACCTCCTGCTGATTCTGGTCGTGCATCAAAATTATTTGTTATACTTTCCAAGTCATGAAACCAAAAATTATGGAAATCTGAAAAGACATATTTGCCATTTAGCAGAACTATGTTTTCACTTAAGAACAACTGTATTAAATAGATTCTCTGCTTCAGTTCTGTTAAACCAAAATCTCGCTACCATGCAAATCCTGACAAAGTGGAGCCCTGCTTCCAGCACTGTGATGAAGATACAAGAAAAAAAACATAATTAGACATAAATAGTATAATTAGCTCTGCATAATTTTCTTCACAACAAGCACTATAGCAGTCTTCTGATGGTATTTTTGTTAACACTTATAACACAAGTAACAGAAGTTAAATGTGCAGCAGATCACAGAGAGCGCCACACTGTGCCACATGTAAAAATCACATCATGTTTCTGGCAGCAACCCAAAAGTGGAACTTCAGGAAGGAACAGACCAACCATATACTTGCCCAGAATACTTGCTTTAATCATCTTTTCTCCAACACTCTTTGTCATTTCTGATATGTAAAATCCAGCTTTAAAACAGAAGACGCTAAACAGTCTACAAAATCAGTATCTAAAATGAGCAACAGGATTATATGTAGCAGAAAATAAACTGCAATTTAATTAAAAGTCAAGTTTTCCATCACAGTAGCCGTCTTAGTGGCAAGGTGCAACTCATATTTAGACATATTATTACCCAGGCTAAATTCACACTCGCACAGAACAAGAGCAAAAGCAAGATGCCGCTTCCTAGAGATGCACGATGATAGGAATACAGTCATTACTCTAATGCATTGCTATGATTTATTTCACATGGGGTGAAGGACAGATCAGTAAAAAAGACTGCACTTAATTCTATCAAACTAAGTGCCTACCTGTGTTGCTAGACTGTGAGCTGCCACCGTCCTGACTTAAGCAAGGAGGAGCTGAATGTTGCTTCTCAGTACTCTGAACTAAAACAGGCTTTACAGATGCTACTTCTTTTTCCTGTACAGGCAGTTGTTTCTCATGTATAGGCAAGGTTTCCTGTGAAGAAAGAGGTAATGTGACTTCTTGTGCCATCCTTACAGCTTCTGAAAATGGAATTTAGAAAAAGTGTTAACTCTATTAGGAATGAGAAAAAACAGGTAACATTAAATGCAAGTATTTACTAAGATTAGGACATGTGTAAGCATCATGAGAGGGTTATAGTCTGCCACTGTGCATAAACTATAGGACTGCTATTTAAACCTGAAACATGCTGAACAGTTTCTGTAAAACTGTTACTACAAATAATGGAAAATGCATCCACTTTTAGTGATTTTGACCTAATCCTTTCTGCTTTTCAAATTACTTTGAAGTTCTCTAGCATCTTAGAAAACGGAAAACAAAGTAAAAAATGTGAAAGAGTAACAGTTACCTGGAAGCAAAAGACTTGCTGGTGCCAGGAATTGATTCCTAATTAGCAGCTCCACAAGATCACCAACAGTACAGTTTGTTGTTCCCCAGTCATAAAGTAATTCACACGTGGGGCTCTTTCCCATTTGCACAAATGCCTCAAATCTCCTTAAAAGATAAATTAAGACCAACGTTTAAAAAAAAGTGACCTTAAGAACCATGAAGAAGGGAAAGGGATTATAGGTAAATGACAAAAAAAAAAATTAAAAAGTTCTCAGTGTACTGAACTGTACTTTACGATTTCACAAATCTTCTGAAAATGCAGCTAAAAAAACCTGAAGAAATTCTACTCTGGAGAAAAATATTCAAAATATGAAAAAAAACCTAAGGGAAAAATATACATACGTGGCTTTAAGATTTTGTCCAGGACCCGTAATGTATCAACACATGGAACTAACAGCAAAGAGAATGTCAGCGAGAGACAGAGGGCAAGCCAGAGCCATATTAAATGGAACAAAAATTCAAGTGTTTTCCATCCATTTGGCATTCACACTTCACTTCATTTTTAATGTTTTGAGAGGGCATTAAGTAGAAATTGAAATCCGTTATTCTTACTGATTTATTATCATTATAGAAAGACAAACAAAGATTTAATGCTAACATCACTAGAAAGACTGAAAACCCAAGATGATAGCTAGGGTATTTAAAATCTCATAACCTTTGAAATAGCTTATGGATTCAACAAGCCCTTCAAGCGACAAGGTGTTCATAAAATACTGCTGACATTACTTCTAAATTAAGCTTGCTAGTTTTGGGCCTCGGGCTCTCCACATTTTTTGGACATTTTCTCGGGAACAGTGAATAAGGAGTTACCATACAGTTGCCTCTTGCGCTATTCCTGTGTGAAGATGCATGATGAAGTCAATGTTTACTAGACTCTAGGGTACAGAAAGTTACACACCCAATGCTGTATTGCTAAAATTACCTATGTTCACAGCTCTAATGAATTCTAATTTCTTCAGTCAATTTTCCTTGGCTACAGCTTGTCTGAAAACTGAACTACTGAACAATTAAAAGTAATTACCTTGAGTCCCCTAAGGAAACGGTACTGTAAGATCAGTACTTAGGTACCCGTCAGCACACAAACGGCAACAAGTTACAGTCATGGGAGCGACAACAGTATGGGATAGACGAGGGTATTCATGTTAAAAGAGTTAACAAGATTATATTACGTGACTTCTAGATAGGACCTTATATGCATTTGGTTGTATCTGCTTTCACCGGAGGGGTTGGTT